CCTTACCTGTCAGTAACATAGGCTATGTTTTTGTTATTTTTTACCGACTTCAAAATGAAGGTTTCCCAAAAGAAGGAGGTACTCAATTCGTCTGTATATTTTTTTTATTTTATTTTTATGTGTGTTACGGCATAACTCCGCCGCTAGTGGACCGATTTTGATAATTCTTATTTTATTTAATTTCACGGGGTTGAAGTTGCGAGGAACAGCTAATATTTATAAGATACTCAAGGATTGCATGATGACATCAAGAAGGGAGTGTAAATAAGGGATGATAAATCTATCTCGAAGAGGAAATGTCTAGTATACAAAACTAGTCCAATTATTGTAAACTCACGATGTAGAGTAATGTGAAAGTATGAAATGGTTGAAAAATTGTAACCATCTACCAACATCCGATATGGTCTAGTGGCTAGGATACCTGGCTCTCACCCAGGAGGCTCGGGTTCGATTCCCGGTATCGGAAATTCTTTTTGCTTATTTTCAAATTATTTTTATGGAATGTTACTGCAGTACATTCATTGTCATATATTTTGTTCACTTGAGCTTTTTAGCAGAACGTGTTAGAAATCGACTAACAAATTACTTTTAACAACCTGACTATAAATGAGTCCCGCCGCGTGTCCCGCCCTCTAACGGCATCTAACAATCGAACTAAATTATATGAATATATACTTTAACACATTGTAGTTAGGTTCACTTTTAAATGACAATATAACTAAAATTACAGTCATTACGAATCATGATCTATGATGACTAGGTTTATATTATAACGTGCTAACAAGCTTTCAAATATAATTTATAATAATTTCTCAGTTGCTCTATTCATAGTTTGTCAATACGTATTAGAGGTAAGCAATTTTTATTACTGTTCATGACGTGCAACGCCATCTATCGTCAAGTAGTGGAATACATGTTGTATTCAGGAAAAAAATATGTAATAGGTTGTGAAATAATAATTTAATGAGGTTCAAATGTTTCCAATAATCATATATTAACATTGTTAGGTAAAGGGTCACCATCTAATACATTAAAAAGTTATCGATTTTCAAATCTTCTTTTGCCAATGAATAAAAAATATTACGACAGTGGTAATGTACAAAAAGGGTCTAATTAAATTGGACAATCTAGTAAAGAAAGAATCTAAAAAGGAAATAAATCCATGCTATGCGGTCAACAGCATAATTAATTGCTTGAATAATAAATTTAACCATCAGTTAGATGTAGCAATCTTAGGCATTACTAATCTAGGCATCCCGTTGCGTGACCTGAACGTAGTCGTGACGGAAGCTCGTCGCTGCGTGTTGATCTTCTGATAAAGTCATTACAAATTTAACGGTCCAAATTATTTGTTACACTCTGCTTACCCTTGTAACGTAGTAATACATAGTTTATTTCACTTGTACCTTTTCTTATAACGCCTTACTTGTGTTTGAATTTTTTAAAACTAAAATATTATATTTTTGACACTCTTGTCTTTTCATGTCATCGAAGAAAGGTTTGAATCTACCCTAAGGGTGACTAGGCTATAGTCAACCACACTAGTCAACTGCGTTTTGGTTGACTTCATACGTCTTGATATTCCTCGCCAGTATGTGGAGGTACACGATGTTTTCCTTCACTTTAAGAGTTAAGAGTAATTTATGTTTATTTGTAATATAAGTTCGTTCTATTGAAAATATGACACCTTTTTTATAGACACTGAGTTGATCAAATCAATCTTTATAATTTCTTCCGGCTTCTCAAGGCTGTTAGTAAATCATCATGTTTCGACATTAGTACCCGGAAAAGATATAAAAACAATTATCTCCGCACAACGTTTACATTGTTATTGCAAATGTTTCTGAAATGCTTTAATAGATACAAATTTGCAGATCAAAGTAGGGTGACCATAAACACATAATCTGAATAGACTTGATTGTATTCTCTCTTTTCTTTTTGCTTTAAAAGACATATTAAGATGGTTTTGTAGTTGTATTGGACGGTTATCAAACTGTTTAATAATAGTCGTACGCTATTTTGAAGAATTCGGAGGCCCTATGCTTATTTGCCAATTAAAGATATAAAAACAAGCATATGTAAAGTAGATTACACTCAGATATAACGCATAGGGATTTAAATAAGTAACTTTTTTAATTTCATGCGCCTAAGTAGCAATATACTCTTTATACATTAGATTTAAGTATATTAAAGACATTCCATGTTTTTTAAATATCATGGTCACCGTGGCATGATCAATACTAAAGACGAAAAGAAGAGCAATCGAGAGTAGCGTGTACATTGATGCCACGGTCCAGTGACCCCCGGGACCGTAGCTAATGGTCCGCTCTCGGGGTCACCGCTCACTGGTAGTGTAAACAGCGAAAGTGTTTACAGTTTTGAAGGTTAAATAAAAACGTAAAAAGTGAAATTGTACAAATACATTGCATAGTAAATAAACGAAATAGTCAAACTAAATTTTAACAATGACAATCCTTATTTTCGATAAAAATAAAATAAAACCAGTAGTTTTTGTTGACTTTTACACGACAAAATCTATAATGTAACTATATCTGTCTTTACTAATATTATAAAGAGGAAAGATTTGTATTTTTGTATGTAATTAAATAACTCAAAAACTACTGGGCCGATTTTAAAAATTCTTTCACCTATAAATAGCTACGTTATCAGTTAATAACATAGGGGACATATTTCTATTATTTTTTAATTTCACGCGGTCGAAGTCACGAAAAACACTTAGTACATTGAGCAAACCTTTAGTGAGATTATCGTTCATTGTGAAAGTGAAACGTTTATTCTAATTCATGTAAGTCCATTGACAAGTTTGTTACGCGGCTGTCGAACGATTATCACTTACAACACGTATTGTTTATTCAACAACATAAACTTTCGCTTTTGTGTGTAACATTTGTAAATATTGCAAATAGAATATTTTAAAAAAAGTGAAACAAACAATTATAAGGCATAAAAACAGATTTTTTTAACTTTTAATAATATTTTGATTACTTTGTTCAAACTATTTTTACAAAACGCTTAACGTGTATGTTAATTTTTATTATTTTATTATAATTTAGTTGTAAAATTCGCAATAAGTTGGTTAAATTTTGTAAACAAAGATGGCCTTGTTACTTAACCGTTAATGTTCCCGCTTTTCAACAATAGATGGCGTCATAATAATTGAAATTCCAAATACATTGAGAAAGCGAAACCATCGCGTTTTATGTAGAAGAGGAACAGAAATTATCAACGAAAGTTAGTATGTTTGTAGAAATCGAATTACGCGTGAGAAGGCTTTTTATGACGTAACTATGTCAATGTCACCCACGGAACGTTTTAGGATTTCATTATATGCATGTGTAATAAAATCAATACGAAAAATGTCTTTAAAAACACAAATAAAAGATATATACCGGTGTTCCATTTATTCATTTCTTATAAAATAAGATAAAAAGTGTGTTGAAACCGAGTTTTACAAAATTATTATAGGTTAGAATATATTTCTTGCCAATTCAAACGAGAAAATGTTTACCATAGACTGCACTATTCTGCCCTAAAACTCGTTAATTCTTAAATATTTATATTAAATCACTATTTCCTATAACTGTTTAACATTAGTTGTCCTAACAAAACAACACAATTACATTTTATCATACAATCACGAAATAATTAAAAATATAAAATCAATATGGCCGCCATGTATGAAGATGTTCATCTGTATAACGAAGCGTCTGTCGACTTCTATAAGGTAAGGTTATGTTATAGTTATTAAGATTGTTTGTAAATCTATACTATTATAATAAAGCGTAAAAACACACTTCTTTGTTGCCTAAGATGTCAGCAATTACAGCATATTTTTGAATAATTATTTTTTTAATAAAAAGCCCTACATTTGCGTCACGTTTTAGGCTATATATTTTTAAGCCATTAAATTTAGCAGGTAAATATTTTGGAGAAAACCCTAATGTGGGAAAGAGACCATAAGTTTCTGCCAACATCAAGGAAGCGAGGTTGTTGTCATGTCATTTTGACATTTGCTATTGAGAACTTGTCATATGCAAACAATGTAATAAAATTTTCATAATTCATGCGGATGAAGTCGCGCGGGAACAACTAGTATATT